CTATAAAGATAGGTTAGGTTAGGTAGGGTTGGTTAGGTTCGGTCATATAACTACGTTAATTTTAACTCCAATAAAAACAAATTGACCTCATACATAATGAAATAGGTAGCTTTATCATTTCATAAGAAAAAAATTAGAAAAAATATATTAATTCAGGAAAACTTGGCTTATTAGGCAAATCGGGCCTTGCATAGTAGGCTGAGAAGTGCGTTCTGGCTACTAGGTACGACATATATATATATATATATATATATATATATATATATATATATATATATATATATATATATATATATATATATATATGAATGAAAACTCATACTATATGCGAATGAAAACTTCTGGGGTGTGAGTTTTCATTCGCATATAGTCCTGGGGACCATTCAGGCTTGTTCGCATATATATATATATGTCGTACCTAGTAGCCAGAACTCACTTTTTGGCCTACTATTCAAGGCCCGATTTGCCTAATAAGCCAAGTTTTCCTGAATTAATATATTTTTTCTAATTTTTTTCTTATGAAATGATAAAGCTACCCATTTCATTATGTATGAGGTCAATTTTTTTTTATTGGAGTTAAAATTAACGTAGATATATGACCGAACCTAACCAACCCTACCTAACCTAACCTAACCTATCTTTATAGGTTAGGTTTGGTTAGGTAGCCGAAAAAGTTAGGTTAGGTTAGGTTAGGTAGGTTAGGTAGTCGAAAAACAATTAATTCATGAAAACTTGGCTTATTAGGCAAATCGGGCCTTGCATAGTAGGCTGAGAAGTGAGTTCTGGCTACTAGGTACGACATATATATATATATATATATATATATATATATATATATGTCGTACCTAGTAGCCAGAACTCACTTTTTGGCCTACTATGCAAGGCCCGATTTGCCTAATAAGCCAAGTTTTCCTGAATTAATATATTTTCTCTAATTTTTTTCTTATGAAATGATAAAGCTAACCATTTCATTATGTATGAGGTCAATTTTTTTTTATTGGAGTTAAAATTAACGTAGATATATGACCGAACCTAACCAACCCTACCTAACCTAACCTAACCTATCTTCATAGGTTAGGTTAGGTTAGGTAGCCAAAAAAGTTAGGTTAGGTTAGGTTAGGTAGGTTAGGTAGTCGAAAAAACATTAATTCATGAAAACTTGGCTTATTAGGCAAATCGGGCCTTGAATAGTAGGCTGAGAAGTGCGTTCTGGCTATTAGGTACGACATATATATATATATATATATATATATATATATATATATATATATATATATATATATATATATATATATATATATATATATATATATATATATATATATATATATATATATATATATATATATATATATATATATATATATATATACGAACAAGCCTAATGGTCCCCAGGACAATATGCATCTGATCACACCCCAGAAGTGACTCGAACCCATACTCCCAGGAGCAACGCAACTGGTATGTACAAGACGCCTTAATCCACTTGACCATCACGACCGGACATAATGAGGTGATAGCCGAGGCTATTTGAACCACCCCACCGCCGGCACTCGGATAGTAATCTTGGGCACAGCATTTTACCAAATCACCTCATTCTTTGGGGCACACGTATAACAAGCCTGAATAGGACAATATGCAACTGAAAACTCACACCCCACAAGTGACTCGAACCCATACTCCCAGGAGCAACGCAACTGGTATGTACAAGACGCCTTAATCCACTTGACCATCACGACCGGACATAATGAGGTGATAGCCGAGGCTATTTGAACCACCCCACCGCCGGCACTCATAGTAATCTTGGGCATAGCATTTTACCAAATCACCTCATTCTTTGGGGCACACGTGAGGAACACAAATGCGAACAAGCCTGAATGTCCGGTCGTGATGGTCAAGTGGATTAAGGCGTCTTGTACATACCAGTTGCGTTGCTCCTGGGAGTATGGGTTCGAGTCACTTCTGGGGTGTGAGTTTTCAGTATATATATATATATATATATATATATATATATATATATATATATATATATATATATATATATATATATATATATATATATATATATACTCAAGCGTGCTGATGTTTTAGTATATTTGATTTGACCTAGAAGGCCACGGCACCCAGTCATTACAACAGAGAGAAACGTAATGTTAGTTTCACTTCAAATGTATTTATAGTAATGTTTACACACCACTAGCCAATGGTGTGATTTAGTTGATTACCAGCGTATTAAATGTGAAGCTATATATATGTTGAGAGGAGAGATTATTAATTTGGAATAGAGGTGAATATGGGGAGTGTTGCCATTTATTGTTTCAAACTTTGAAGAATGTTGTATATATATTGCAGAAAACGTGTACAGTATAATATTTAAATAAACTGTTGCAGAGTCCGGCTAATACGCTTTTTTCCAGACTGTTAAGAATTATACTCCCCCCTTTGACTTGCCAACCAAAGAATGAAGATATTAATGTTATAATTTCAAGTGGGAATAAGTGAGGGTGCGGCACTACCACATAATGGCAGATCAGCTCAGGATTGAGAAGGCCTTTTCCTGCAAGAAATACTCCAGAGACGTCCAGAGAGACACTTGGTTTCAAGGGATATGATTGGTCAGAGGCGGGGGCCAGTACAGGCTGACCTATCAGGGCGTGGCGTAGTGCGACGTCAGCACGCCACAGCCGCGCTCGGGAGAGGCGTCTACTGTCACTAGCCACCTGAAGCGAGAGAAATATGTTGCGTTGCTCCACGGTCCCCCTTTTTGGTGAGGTTTAGGATACCAGACTGGACGTTATCCTAAGCAGTACTCGAAAGGCGAAGAGAAGGAGCTGCTGGTCGACCTCTTAGGAAGAATAGAGGACCTGGACCATGACAAGAGATCATTAATGCTTCAGCGACGGCAGAGCTCTAGTTTGTCTGGAGTGGCGACACTGGGGGTTGAGATTAATCCCGCGGGTCGTTCCAAAGTGTGGAACTGTGGAGGGAGGCCTAGCTGTCAAGTCCTGGTCCGAATATAGCAGAATAACAACCTCGGGGGAAGAGGCAGCTATCCTGCCCATCTCTTCAGCAGAAGAGAAGAAGAGGACCAGTAAATAGTGTAGGAGACTGATGGAGGTTTGGGCGACATTCGCCGCCCCCCTGTGTAATCATCAGAGGAGCTCAGTAGTCGGAAGCCGTCGACCAGCTGCTGTGAAGAGATCTTCTGTGATTCTGCAGAGAAGAGAGTGGAAGAGGAGCCCTGCAGTATCTACACAGAGTACCGAAGGGATCATCAATCCACTGCTCTGGGCTGTAATTACTACAGACTACTGGGCTCTAATGACTACAAATTAATAATGACTACAGGGCTGTAATGAATACATGCTTCGACAACAAAGTAGATTAAATTTCCCTCCCTTTCCCCTTATTGATAGGAAGTGTATATCCATTATTTCGTGTACGTTGAGAGATTTGTTGTAGTAAGAAGGGCTCAGATTATGACAATTTTTGGCTAAGTGTAAATTTTGGTGTTGTTCTTTAATGCAGGTGATCCAGATTAACTGTGTATTGTTAGTGAGAAGTTAAAGTAAATATTATGTTAGTGAAATTATTGTGACCTTCTTTACAAGAAAACTTAAAAGTGATAGCTTAATGAATTCTGACTAGAAATATGGATGGATTTTGCCAAATTGTCAAAGCCTTTCATTGAGGACCATATATAAACATTTGAAATATTTTTGGGCCTTAAGCTTTGTACTTCTAATTCCAGTAAATGGTTCAAATTCTTTATATAGTGTTTAGTTCCACTCCTTCATCCTCTATATGTTTATCATCTGAGATTAGACTGAGTGCTGAACACAAATAAGTAAGTAATTAGCAGACTGGAACAAGTGTTTCACTACACATAGAGAAATTTATGTGGCCTAAAGTGGAGCTGTAGTCAGATTGGCGACCTATGGCTATTTCGACATTTGTGGGGGGCAAGCCGGCAGTGAGGAACCTGGTCTTAGTGTCTGCAGATACGCTGATTGAAGACCCAGGGAACGGCTGACTCTCCTTACTCTCCATGAGGGCAGGCCTGGTTTGAATAATTCTTCCTTGTGAGTTAATAAGATGCGCCCCTAAAGTGAACAGTAGCACTGTGAGAGGGGAAGTAAGACCCGAGAAGCGGGTGTGAGCCCGTCACAAAATATGTTTCCTTTATTATTGTGTTTGTTATTAAGTCCCCATTTTCACTTTGTAAACTGTTTACCTGGGCTTATGACTGAGTATGAATACCGCCATCAAAGCTTGAGTTGGGACCGAGCACCATCATGTTGTTGAAGTTTACCTGGTGGCGGCAGAGTGAGCTAGCCTGGTTAACGACCTGAGAGAGTTTGTTATTTTGTGGAGGCCAGACCGAGGGTACTGAGCTCTGTGCACTGATGGTTCTGGAGACTGCGGCTCGGGGGACCATTGGTCTTATCCCACTCCTCAGGGGGTACAAGGCCGGGGTGTGTGACCGGGCTACCACCCCTCGCTGATAGTGGCACTGCAGGAGGGGAGAACGCCACGCCACCCTCGTAATACATTTGACGTGAGAATGGTGTTTGGTTTCAAACTTAGGTTAGACATATATGTTAACAAGCCGTCCTCAAACTATGCAGCAACACGTGGGCCCAAAGATTCGATCAATAATTCATAAATACAAGATTATTATATACAAAATTTTTGTGTATAGTGAAGCCCAAATTAGGTTAGATTAGTGAAGAATTGTTTGGAAAGTGTTTGAACGTCATCAGTTGTGAGTCGTTTGTAAAGCGTTGTCGTTAATAAACTATGTATTTGGCTGCCAGACCAACACGCATGAAGCATGTATTGATGAGCACGGGCTGTTGTTATTATTATTAATATGAGTTGCATGTAAAAAGGAGCCGTCTCGCATCAACCAATAGGCCTCCTGTTGTGTCCTGTCAATCTATGTCCTCGTTAGTGCAGAGCAATTTGTACTAATTAACGTTCATGTTTGTGTATTTCAGACTGAGCACCAGGTGGAGACCCCGGACTCCGTGCGTCAGGAGGCCACCACGCTCGCTGCCCCGGCCTCCACCATGACTAGAGTCACAACTGCCAGTCCTGCTGCAGGAGCCATCGTTAATCCAGCCGCAAGTGCCATCCTAAATCCCAGCTCCGGTGCCATCATGGACACAACCTGCGGAGCGGCCATGATGAACCGTAGCTCCGGCATGATTGACCCGAGTGGCGCCATGTTGGAGTACAGCGGTGGAGGCATCACAGCAGTCAGCAGCGGCTCCATTTTGAATGCCGGGGATTCTGTGGAGAGCCGGATGGCTCGCCCGATGTCCGTGGCATCACCGGCGACACTGAGCCGGTACCAAGGTCGTGTAGGGCGCTCTGCCTCCTGCACCGGACGGGGCAGCTCCTTCACCTTCACCTCCTCCTCCACACTGCCCCGCCGCTCCTCAGCCGTGGCCCTCAACCCGGAGTTCTTCCCACTCGACCTCAGCACCAGCAGGGAGAGTTGTGTTTAGTCCCTCAGTGAGCATCATGTAACCAGGGGCACCCCTGGGCAGGTGTTGAGCCAGGGGCAGTTGTTGAGCCACGGGCAGGTGTTGAGCCACGGACAGGTGTTGAGCCAGGGGCAGGTGACGAGCCAGGGGCAGGTGTTGAGCCAGGGGCAGGTGTTGAGCCAGGGGCAGGTGTTGAACCAGGGGCAGGTGTTGAGCCACGGACAAGTGTTGAGCCAGAGGCAGGTGTTGAGCCAGGGGCAGGTGTTGAGCCAGGGACAGGTGTTGAGCCAGGGGCAGGTGTTGAGCCACGGGTAGGTGTTGAGCCAGGGGCAGGTGTTGAACCACGGGTAGGTGTTGAGTCAGGGGCAGGTGTTGAGCCAGGGGCAGGTGTTGAGCCAGGGGCAGGTGTTGAGCCAGGGGCAGGTGTTGAGCCAGGGGCAGGGGTTGAGCCAGGGGCAGGTGTTGAGCCAGAGGCAGGTGTTGAGCCAGAGGCAGGTGTTGAGCCAGGGGCAGGTGTTGAGCCAGAGGCAGGTGTTGAGCCAGGGGCAGGTGTTGAGCCAGGGGCAGGTGTTGAGCCAGGGGCAGGTGTTGAGCCAGGGGCAGGTGTTGAGCCAGGGGCAGGTGTTGAGCCAGGGGCAGGTGTTGAGCCAGGGGCAGGTGTTGAGCCAGGGGCAGGTGTTGAGCCAGGGGCAGGTGTTGAGCCAGAGGCAGGTGTTGAGCCAGGGGCAGGTGTTGAGCCAGGGGCAGGTGTTGAGCCAGGGGCAGGTGTTGAGCCAGGGGCAGGTGTTGAGCCAGGGGCAGGTGTTGAGCCAGGGGCAGGTGTTGAGCCAGGGGCAGGTGTTGAGCCAGGGGCAGGTGTTGAGCCAGGGGCAGGTGTTGAGCCAGGGGCAGGTGTTGAGCCAGGGGCAGGTGTTGAGCCAGGGGCAGGTGTTGAGCCAGGGGCAGGTGTTGAGCCAGAGGCAGGTGTTGAGCCAGGGGCAGGTGTTGAGCCAGGGGCAGGTGTTGAGCCAGGGGCAGGTGTTGAGCCAGGGGCAGGTGTTGAGCCAGGGGCAGGTGTTGAGCCAGGGGCAGGTGTTGAGCCAGGGGCAGGTGTTGAGCCAGGGGCAGGTGTTGAGCCAGAGGCAGGTGTTGAGCCAGGGGCAGGTGTTGAGCCAGAGGCAGGTGTTGAACCAGGGGCAGGTAACGAGCCAGGGGCAGGTGTTGAACCAGGGGCAGGTAACGAGCCAGGGGTAGGTGTTGAACCAGGGGCAGGTGTTGAGCCAGGGGCAGGTGTTGAGCCAGGGGCAGGTGTTGACCCAGGGGCAGGTGACGAGCCAGGGGCAGGTGTTGTGCCAGGGGCAGGTAACGAGCCAGGGGCAGGTGTTGAGCCAGGGGCAGGTGACGAGCCAGGGGCAGGTGTTGTGCCAGGGGCAGGTGTTGAGCCAGGGGCAGGTGTTGAGCCAGGGGCAGGTGACGAGCCAGGGGCAGGTGTTGAGCCAGGGGCAGGTGACGAGCCAGGGGCAGGTGACGAGCCAGGGGCAGGTGACGAGCCAGGGGCAGGTGACGAGCCAGGGGCAGGTGACGAGCCAGGGGCAGGTGACGGGCCAGGGGCAGGTGACGGGCCAGGGGCAGGTGACGAGCCAGGGGCAGGTGACGAGCCAGGGGCAGGTGACGAGCCAGGGGCAGGTGACGAGCCAGGGGCAGGTGACGAGCCAGGGGCAGGTGACGAGCCAGGGGCAGGTGACGAGCCAGGGGCAGGTGACGAGCCAGGGGCAGGTGACGAGCCAGGGGCAGGTGACGAGCCAGGGGCAGGTGACGAGCCAGGGGCAGGTGACGAGCCAGGGGCAGGTGACGAGCCAGGGGCAGGTGACGAGCCAGGGGCAGGTGACGAGCCAGGGGCAGGTGACGAGCCAGGGGCAGGTGACGAGCCAGGGGCAGGTGACGAGCCAGGGGCAGGTGACGAGCCAGGGGCAGGTGACGAGCCAGGGGCAGGTGACGAGCCAGGGGCAGGTGACGAGCCAGGGGCAGGTGACGAGCCAGGGGCAGGTGACGAGCCAGGGGCAGGGGACGAGCCAGGGGCAGGTGACGAGCCAGGGGCAGGTGACGAGCCAGGGGCAGGTGACGAGCCAGGGGCAGGTGACGAGCCAGGGGCAGGTGACAAGCCAGGGGCAGGGGACGAGCCAGGGGCAGGTGACGAGCCAGGGGCAGGTGACGAGCCAGGGGCAGGGGACGAGCCAGGGGCAGGTGGAACAGTTGGCAATATTTATCAAATGTTTCTGTACGGACCAACATGTTGTTGTGGCCTCAGGAATATATGGCCCGCCGTGGCTTCACTCACTTCATTAATGAGGAATTAAAGAAAGTTCCCTCGTAAATGTTCCCGGTGAGAGAACACAAGCGGAACTGAACGGAACAAAAAGCGAGAGTAAACCAGCAAAGATAAAGGTGGCATAATAAAATAAATTAGACTTAACCATGTAAATAGTCCTGACTAGTCATAAATCTAGCGATAACGTTGCCCCCCCCCCCCCCCCCCCGCCCCCAGGTGTATATATTTTCTTCAATAAACATTTTTGCTCCTAGAGATCATCAGAGCTCTGCTGATTTTTAGACTCGAATTTGAACATGTATAAACTAGAGCAACATTTGTTCAAAATGAACCTACATGTGAGGTTTAGGTATCTAGTGGAATGGATGTGCAATGATTCACTTGGTAGAAATGTTGAAATTGTGTCCTCTGTGGTGGGCTAGCCCCTGACAGTCCCATGACCTCTGTGGTGGGCTAGCCCCTGACAGTCCCATGACCTCTGTGGTGGGCTAGCCCCTGACAGTCCCATGACCTCTGTGGTGGGCTAGCCCCTGACAGTCCCATGACCTCTGTGGTGGGCTAGCCCCTGACAGTCCCATGACCTCTGTGGTGGGCTAGCCCCTGACAGTCCCATGACCTCTGTGGTGGGCTAGCCCCTGACAGTCCCATGACCTCTGTGGTGGGCTAGCCCCTGACAGTCCCATGACCTCTGTGGTGGGCTAGCCCCTGACAGTCCCATGACCTCTGTGGTGGGCTAGCCCCTGACAGTCCCATGACCTCTGTGGTGGGCTAGCCCCTGACAGTCCCATGACCTCTGTGGTGGGCTAGCCCCTGACAGTCCCATGACCTCTGTGGTGGGCTAGCCCCTGACAGTCCCATGACCTCTGTGGTGGGCTAGCCCCTGACAGTCCCATGACAGTCCCATGACCTCTGTGGTGGGCTAGCCCCTGACAGTCCCATGACCTCTGTGGTGGGCTAGCCCCTGACAGTCCCATGACCTCTGTGGTGACAGTCCCATGACCTCTGTGGTGGGCTAGCCCCTGACAGTCCCATGACCTCTGTGGTGGGCTAGCCCCTGACAGTCCCATGTCCTCTGTGGTGGGCTAGCCCCTGACAGTCCCATGACCTCTGTGGTGGGCTAGCCCCTGACAGTCCCATGACCTCTGTGGTGGGCTAGCCCCTGACAGTCCCATGTCCTCTGTGGTGGGCTAGCCCCTGACAGTCCCATGTGGTGTGGTGGGCTAGCCCCTGACAGTCCCATGACCTCTGTGGTGAAAGGCTAGCCCCCTGACAGTCCCATGACCTCTGTGGTGGGCTAGCCCCTGACAGTCCCATGACCTCTGTGGTGGGCTAGCCCCTGACAGTCCCATGACCTCTGTGGTGGGCTAGCCCCTGACAGTCCCATGTCCTCTGTGGTGGGCTAGCCCCTGACAGTCCCATGTCCTCTGTGGTGGGCTAGCCCCTGACAGTCCCATGTCCTCTGTGGTGGGCTAGCCCCTGACAGTCCCATGTCCTCTGTGGTGGGCTAGCCCCTGACAGTCCCATGTCCTCTGTGGTGGGCTAGCCCCTGACAGTCCCATGTCCTCTATGGTGAGCTAGCCCCTGACAGTCCTATGACGGCGTGGTGGGCTAGCCCCCCCCCCCCCTGGGGCCAAGCCCACCACTATTATATATTATAATATATAATATATAATTGATATGTAATCACCTGCCTCAAGCTGGACAAACCCCAGCCAGTAAGATGTTGGTGTAACGTCACGGTCCGTTAACCTCACTGGGTGCGTGGGATTTAGAGTGAAAACCGACAAGCGGACCGACCACTTTGCACCAAGCAATACCAGATTCAGAAAGAAAATATCAACTGCCTAAAGCTGGGCACATGGAACGTCAGGACACTGACACCAGGTTTCTCTGATGACCTGTAAGAAATCAACGACGCCCGAAAACGGCTGTCATCGTTAGGGAGCTGAGCAAACTGCAGATGAATATTGTTGCTCTCCAAGAGACCAGGCTTCCAGGATCAGGATCTGTGAAAGAGAGGGCCTTTTCCTTCTTATGGAAAGGATATCCTCCAGACGAGAGCATAGAATACGATGTTTTCTATGCTCTCCCAAACGCACTCCCAAACAGGACAAGTCAGTGTAATTGGCGGATGCGCACCAACCCTGACCTCTCCAGCAGAGGCCAAGGAAAAATTCTACGATGACCTACACAGAGTCATAGCGAGAATCCCTGTAAAGGAGCCACTGTTCATCCTCGGCGACTTCAAAGCCAGAGTAGGTGCCGATCACAACTCTAAGCCCACTTGTCTGGGTCAATTCGGTATAGGGAAGACGAACGAGAATGGGCAACGTCTGCTACAACTCTGCTACCTTCATAGTCACTGAGTCACCAACACGTTTTTCGGCACAAAGCCTCAACACAGTCTCTTGGAGACACCCCAGATCGAAGCACTGGCACCAGCTTGACCTGATTCTTACCAGGCGTGCAAGTCTACCCAGCGTCAAGATTACGCGTAGCTACCAGACTGCTGTCTGTGACACCGACCACTCCCTGGTATGTAGCAGGGTCAAGATGCAAACAATGAGGATTCACCACTCGAAAAAGGAGGACAGACCTCGCATCGACACCAGCAAGACCCGCAATCAGGACAAGGTGGAAGGTTTTGCACGTGCGCTCGAGGAAGCTCTTCCTGACCCAGCCAGGGCCAACACCCGCTAGATGGGAGCACTTCAGCGACGCTATGTTTAACGCTGCCATGTCCACCTTCGGCAAGAAGACCAGCAGGTAGGCAGACTGGTTCGAGGCTCACTCGAAAGAAATGACACCAGTCAACGAAGAGACGAGAAATGCCTTAGCAGCCTACAAACCCTGCCCAAGTCAGCGCAACTTGCAGATCCTTCGAGCCGTCCGCTATTGGCTCCTGCTCTGCTCCCAGATGCAGACTGCAGCAGATGCAGGCAATGTATCTGTATAATGCAATGTACCTCTCTCTTGCTTTACTTATGCCCGTGCCTCCCTCATCTCATCACAATCGAATAGATAATGGTCCAGGACGGACCGAAAACGTCGTTTTCTCATTATCTACTATTGTGTGGTTTGGTCAACATCTGCAGCTGAAGCGCTGGGTCTAGCACTACTCTGAACTATACGCCACGAAAAATGTGGTCACCGAAGACGCCCTGAGCGTCATTGAGTGCCTGCCTGAGTTAATGGAGATCGACAGTGCACCGACTCTCGAAGAACTCAGCGAGGCCCTAGACTGCTTTGCTTCTGACAAAGCTACTGGAAAAGACGTTATTCCTGCTTAGACCTTGAAGTGGTGCAGAGGTAACCTGCTCATGGAGTTGCATGATATCTTCTGCCTCTGCTGGAGAGAAGGAGAGGTGCCACAGGACATGAGGGACACCAACATCGTCACGCTGTATAAGAATGAAGGTGACAGGGACGACTGCAACAATTACCGTGGCATCTCCCTCCTCAGCATATTCGGAAAGCTGTTTGCTCGAGTTACATTGAAGAGGCTCCAAGTACCTGCAGAGAGAGTCTATCCAGAATCACAAGGCGGATTCCGAGCTAACAGGTCCACCATCGACATGGTCTTTTCCCTCAGACAACTGCAGGAGAAATGCAGGGAACCGAAGCAGCCACTCTTCGTAGCCTTCATAGAACTGACGAAGGCCTTCGACGGCAGGGAACCGAAGTAGCCACTATTCGTAGCCTTCATAGATCTGACGAAGGCCTTCGACCTCGTCAGCAGGGATGGCCTGTTCAAGATCCTCCCCAAGATCGGATGCCCAACCAGGTTCCTCAGCATCATCAGATCTTTCCACAAGAACATGAAGGGCACCGTGGTCTTTGATGGCTCAACATCAGACGCCTTTGACATCCGAAGCGGAGTAAAGCAGGGCTGCATCCTGGCTCCAACGTTATTCAGGATTTTCTTCGTTACTGCCTGACTTAGAGCTGTAGCAGCTCCCCATGCAGGTGACTTCCTGTTAGCAGCCCTAACGTCGGCAATTGGCACAAATCTCACTACACGCCCTCTGAATTGCTGGGGCCCTCCTCCTTGCTGCCTCAATCCACACCATATATAAGTGTATTTGCTATGAGGTGGTGACTGACAGGT